GTGTGTGAAAGAGAGAGAGAGAGAGAGGGAATTTTGATGTCTGCGTCTTAGGGGTTCCCACTTACTTAACTTTGTCTTGCAGCCCCACAGAGCCACTTAATTATATACGAGTTGAATGAATGAACGCAGTAATCAAATGACAGTCCATCAGCGTCTGCCTTCAGAGCCATCAGCACCACATGGCCACAGATGTTTCCAGGCAGCTGCCCATGGTTGAGGTCAAGACGGACACTCCTCAGCTTAGCCCCTCCATGGACGTGTCTGAGTTTTAAGAGACTGTTTTCTAATTTGTGATTCCTTCATAAAGTGCCCCCTTTCAGGATAATTACAGAGTCCTGTAATAATCTATTAATTGGACCTGGTTTCTGTGCTGTGTGTTTCCTCAGCCTTCCGCGGGGCTGCCCCAGTGGTACTTGCCTCCCGCCAGCAGCAAAAGCAGATGTGGCTGACCCACACACCCTGACCTGGGAGCCAGGGAGGGCTCAGAGGAAAGAGTGGAAGGCCTGGGAGGAGGGCACTCTTCCCTTCTGAGCCCTGCAGCCTTGCTCACTCTGGGCCTTTGCATTTCCTTCTGAACCGTGAGGGGGAAGTGAAGCAACCTAATATAAGTGCTTAATGTGTTCCAGGCTTAGAAGAATATAGCTTAGAAGTGAGGCTGTCTAAGCACATTACCCCCAAATGATGGAGGGGTTTTTTGTTTGTTTAAGATTTTATTTTTAAGTAATCTCTACACCCAATGTGGGGCTCGAACTCACTCGCATGCTCTGCTGACTGAGCCAGCCAGGAGCCCCCCAGATGGTGTTTTTTACAGGAATGTATTAAGGTTACATGTTGACACAATTCTTGTTAAGATGATGACTTGAGGGACGCCTGGGTGGCTCAGCTGGTTGACTGTCCAACTTCAGCTCAGGTCATGATCTCACAGCTCGTGGGTTGGAGCCTGGCATTGGACTCCGTGCTGATGGCTCAGAGCCTGGAGCCTGCTTCTGATTCTGTCTCCCTCTGTCTCTGCTCCTCCTCTGTTCACTCTCTCTCTCTTTCTCTGTCTCAAAAATAAATAAACATTAAAAAAAGAAAAAAAAAAAAGATGGTGACTTGGAAAGATGTTAGAAGAAAGGAGGACCAGAGGGGAAGGAGGTCAAAGGTGTCCCCTACTCTGAAGCCAGCTCTGCCACAGCTCAGGCCCCCATCTCTTGCCCAACTACTGGCTTCCTCTGCCAATGGTGAACCCCAGTTATGACTTTATATACACATTTCTCCACTAGTATCCCCATTTTATAGATGAGGTAACTTAAAGTGACTCGCTCAAGGTCACTGGCTAAAAAAAGAAGAAGAAAAATGTCTGAGTCAGGATTCGAACCCAGATTTCACTAACTACAGCATAGTGGCCTTAACCACTAGGGACACTACTTCCCTTCCAGGACCTTAGCCTTTAATATTCCTCTAAACTGGGTGGCAGGCGTAATAAAACAATAAAGTATTTCTACCCTGCCCTCCTCTCTTCTTAGCCTGAGGGTCTGAGGCTGGTGAGAGAATCTTGTGTTGTTTGAGCCAAGGGAGAGGGGAATGAGCAAGCAGTCAGCCAGCCAGGGCCTGAGGGGAACCCGGGGGTACCCCCAAAGAACTGGGAGATATGAAGCAAGTGCATAAAATGAGATCAGGAAACTGCAAAGTTTTCAACACTGATTGTGAAGGAGGAGGCAGGACGAGGCAGAGGAGAGTCATAAAAGGGCTGAAACTCCCTCTGGGTCTTAAAGGAAGGGGGAGGGTTTGCAGGCAGGACAGAGGGATGACATCCCTGGTGAAGGGCACTGGAATGAGCAAAATCAGGCCAGAGAAGGGAGCAGGCCATACTGACCTGTACCTAAAGACAGGGAGTGGTAGGGAGTGTGGTGGGCCATCAGCCTGTATAGGGCAATATCAAAGGTCTTGAAAGGCAGACCGTGGAATCTGACAATAGGAAGCTATTGTAGGTTCTAGAGTAATACCCTAATGAGCTGGGAAATAGAAATAAGAAAGATAATCAGAACAAATTTTATAAGCCTGGAAGCATTTTCCAAAGTGGGATGTTATTTGTAAGTCTATAAGCTTTATTAGCTTTCGGTCTTAGCAACAAAGGAATCTTTCCCAGCTTCTCTTCAAGAGCCCACCCAATACCTGGGACAAAGCTCCCTGCTGGGTCTGAGAAAGCCTGCCAGCTCCCATCTGGGGGCCCTTCTGTCCAGCTGGGGGGGCATTTGCAAGCCCTATGATGAGGAAAGCCAGTCTGGCTTCAGGGAGATGGCGACTCAGCTGTACTTTCTTGGGAGTCCAGGCCTCAGTCTGACCAACTAAGAAGAGGGGCCCCTGGGTGGCTCAGTCTGTTACGCATCCAACTTTGGCTCAGGTCATGATCTCACAGTCTGTGGGTTCGAGCCCCGTGTTGGGCTCTGTGCTGACAGCTCAGAGCCTGGAGCCTGCTTCACACCTCCCTCTCTCTCTGCCCCTCCCCCGCTTGCACCCTGTGTCTTTCTCAAAAAATAAATAAACATTTAAAAAAGAAAAAGAAACGAAGAGAAGTGCGCTCGCTGCCTCCTGGTCTTGGAGAGGGGTTAATGTTTATTGTGCCATCCAGTTCTTGCCTCTAAGTACCAATAAGACTCTGTCTTGGAGCTGGGCATGGTTGTTTTCTTTGTTCTTCCTTTGTGGCAAGGGATACACAGCTGTGAGCATTGGCGCTGCTCTTAATTCCCCGGAAAGTGAGCCCAGATACCATCCAAAGGCTGAGCACCGTACACTCCCAGCTCCCACCCTGAGGGGCCGAGAGTGAACGAGGTCAGCCACGGTCAGAAGACGGTCATTCAAGGGCTGCGGCCTGTGTTTACGAGTCTGTGAAACATTACTAACCCCCATCCCACCCAGCTTTCACAGGGTGGCTATCAGGAGGATGAGCTAAGAAATTGAGGGTGAGGGTTCTCCTAAAACTGCTCTGGGCAACTTATTTGTTACCAGCATTTTCAGATCCAGTTCTAACCCAAGTTCATTCAGTTTGGGGAACAAGTCACCCAGCTCTACCAAAGAGATGTGAGTCTTCTCAACTATCCCAGAGTTTGAGACTCTTTGTCAGAATCACTGACGAGAATGCAGGTTCCTGGGGCCCTGCCCCAGGTGCACTCAGCCAGAATCTCCACCAGAGCCCGGGGATCTGGGTTTTAACCTGGGCCCCACACACTCAAGTGGGAAAATTACTGTTTTAACATCGGGCAAACAAGGCCTGCCTGGGACCAGGAAGAGAAACAAGGGAGATAACAGCTCTCCAAAGGCCGGTGTGGGAGGTCTGCCCACACCCGCCACCCCCGCCACGACGGTCAAGGGGAGGGAGAAGTGGGAAGGGCCTTGGCCTTCATCTGGCCCAATCCCTATTTCACTGATAAGGAAATTGGGGCCCAGAGAGGGCAATGAGTCCCAGTCACCCAAGGAATTCCCTTAGATAGGCCTGCAGTCCCCTTGCTCAGAAGGCCTCACCACCCCTCCTTTTCTGCTTCCATGTGCATGTGTGTCTGTGTGCCTTGTCCATTCTGCACCTGCCAGGGCCACACCTCCTCCCAGGAACAAGCCGTACTCCTAGGTGCCCTAGGTTCTTGGTCTAGTAAGAGGCTAGAACTAACTCCATTTCTTGGTGCTCCTGCTCCCTAGCCTCTTACATTCAGAGATCAATTTTGTGATTTTCGTGACTGCATAACAAATGGAACTGTGACTTTTTCATAGGAGGAAAAAGAAGTCTCTGGAAGTCCTTCGAGTTTCTGTAAGTGCCTTGGGCTTCTATACCCTGTACCCGGGCCTTCTAACCCAGAGCAACCAGGTGAGCTCTCCCAACTGAGCTCAGCGGGAGGTCTGACTCAACGCCTCACCTTCCAGGGCTTTCCAGCGCTTTTCCCTGGTAGCATCAGCCAGCCATGGGAGCCAGGGTTCTTGGCACAGATGGCACACAATCCACATACCTCCATTACCAGGCTGGCAGGCAGCCCCGGAAAAGGACACAGCAACACACGGGTGGACCCGAGTCTGATGAAACTTGCCTTTTACCGGCAACCATCCCCCTTTTTTATTTCACAGCACGGACGAGACTCAACTGTTTTAACAAACCTTTTTTTTTTTATTAGAAAAGTAAAAAATATTGCATAGGTCTTAATACTTGAACATCAAGTGTATTTATGAACAGCGAGTATCTTCATGTAAACAGTTCTAGATGGAAGACCCAGATGGCACTCTTCTGGGGGAGGGGTTCCAGCCCCCCACCCCACCCCAATCAGCCCCATCCCCTCACAGCTCAACTCCCCAGTACACATTGGGGGAGGGGAGGGAGGGGCAAATGCAGCTCCCAGGTGTATTTTTTCTTCAAGTGTCAAAGATCCCCAAGTGATCCCAACACCCACCCCTTCCTACTCTTACATTCATGCGTCTGTAAGATAGCTGCCTAGAACAGGTCAGTAGTGAAGCTCTGATCAAAACAAAAACAAAAACAAAAACCAAAGGTACAAAAACAAAGAACACATTTGGCCCCTTCAGACCATGAGATACACAAAACCGCCTTGACCTCCCCCCTCCCACCAGGGCTGCTACCAGGAGCACACAACCCCTTGCAAAGGCCAGTGCAGCCCAGCTGCTCACCTGGCTGTCACACCACTGTTGTCTTAACTGTCAGTAACGATAAAAATAATAAGGTACATGCTACATACACATCCAGCCAGAAGCCCAGTTGGCCCCTAAGCCTTTGTTTCATGCTACAGTACTGAGGGGCATAGGCCCCCAACCGGGAGCTACCTGCACACCTCAGTGAGCTTCCTAGGAAACACAATGTTCCCCCCACCTCCACCTTCCTCCCCTCAGGTGGCTGTTGTCAGTTTGCTAACGACAGGCGTCAATCCCTCAGCTCCTGCCTGCCAACCTCCACCTCAAAATCAAAAGTTGAGTGGTCTCTGGCGTGGGGGCAGGGTAGCCCCCCCCCCCCAGGCTCAAGTTCAACACTCCTCAATGAGCAGCTGCTCCGAGCTATACAGCTTTTTCTTGATGACTCGGAAGCCCGTGCTCAGCGTCAGGGACTGGCTGAAACCGGGGACGAAGGGAGAGTTGGCAGAGCTGAACAGCCCCTGGATCTTAGGCCAGAGGCGTGAGTCCAGGCGCAGCACGAGGGTCAGCTGGAAAGTGGGCACCAGGCTGGGGTCGAGGGCCAGCTGGCCGACGCTATGGCAGCTCTTGCCTTGTTCTACGCAGACGTCCAGCAGCGCCCCCCGCAGGCCACACGGCTCGCTGTAGGCCAGGCGCAGTAGTTCCTTGCCCACCTGGCTCACCAGCTGGCTGGGCATCAGCAGGCGCGCTGGGCGCCGTGAGCCCAGCCGCGCCTGGGACAGGCTCTCCTGCAGCAGCTGCATCAGGTTGGCACACAAGTGCTCATCCTCAGGGTCGCTGAGCAGCTCGAAGTCGGGCAGGGACACCCCATCCAGGTATGCCGAGTCTGGTAAGGGAGAGCACACAAGAGAGGGATATAAGAACAGCTCCAAAGGCGGCGGGGGGG